GCTCTATATACTCTCTCTCATTTGTGAATCTTACCTCCAAATATAAGGATTTGGAGGTAAGATTCTGTATGTGCACCCCTCCACCACATTCAACACACAGAATAATAAAAAATAAAAAGGTGAAACATCACTCAACAAAACTAAAGAAACAAATACTTAGAAGTGAATCCTGAAGACACAATAATGAGAAACCCCATATTTACAGATACTCAGTGTACTTAAAAAATCATATGATGATATTAAAATAAAACCAGAAATGTGATGCTACATTACAAAAACAGATGACATTAAAGGGAGGCCCCAATAAGCTATTTAACTTTGAGGTACATAACTCATTAGAGGAATTGAAGAGCAGACAAACAAAAAGAGAATCTAGCGGGTGTCATACATGCAATCTAAAATCATCAATGCAGATGGAGAAACAATCATAAAACGACATTAGGAAGAGATCAGTAAGTAGCCAAACTTGTGAATTATGGAAATCCCAAAAGGAAACTGGAAACAAGGATCAAATACGCCACACAAAGAATGGTTGAGAACATTAGAGATTTTTGAGATGTATGTACACACAATTGCAAGAAACATGAAAAACATCAATAAAGTAAATCCAAATTAGCTTATTGCAATGCATATGGCAATCAAACAGTCAAAAGTTAGAAAACTCCATTGTGTACATGAGCCCAATTTTTTCTTTATCCTTTCATCAGCTAATGGAAATCTAGGCTGATTCCATTTCCTAGCTATTGTGAATAAACTATGAACATAGATGTGAAAGCATCTTTTTGATAAAGGATAGTTTTTGGGTATTATGCCCAGAAGTGGAATAGTTGACTTACATGATCATTCTGTTTCTAGTTTCTTGAGACACATCCACAGTGATTTCCATAGTAGCTGCACCAGTTTAGAATCCTACCAATAGCATAAAATGTTTTCCTTTCCTTCATATCCTCAACTGAATTTATTGCCATTTGTTTTCTTCATAATGACCATTCTTACTGAAGCAAAGTGGGATCCCATCTCTAAAAAATATTAGCCATTTATGTTTTTTCTTTTCAGAATGTTCTGTTCAATTCCACAGCTTATATTTATTATGACATTCGGATTCTTACATTGGTGGTTTTTTTTAGTACTTCCTAGGTGCTAAATATTAATGCTCTGTCCAATTTAACTTGGCAAAGATTCTTTCTTATTAAAAAAATAGGGATCTTGAATAAGGTACTCTGTGTGGGTGGACAAGCCTGCTGCCAGAAGCCATAGCTTCCAAAATCAAAATCCCAGCACCAGTTTCAGGATAGCTCCCTACAAGTTGTTGGCCAGAGAGCCCATAGAGGCTCTCAAAGCAATACAGCCTATTGCCAATTCTCTTTGTCACCGATGAGAACCAAACAGTAAGATTCTATACCTGAGACCATAACACATTTTTGACACAGAGATGTCAAGCATGCATAGAGCAAGAAGGTGCTATGCAATATGTTTGAGGAATCAATGATCTCATGCCTTTGTGAACTCAGTATGTTATAATGCTGAAATCTTGGGCAAGATATGTCTTTGGTTCCAAATGTTTATGGGGTAACCAACAAATTCCTGTTTGGTTCCGAGCCAGCTCCATGAGAAGGAATATTTGTGTGGTTCTGTAAAGCTGGTCAAAAAGCCTATGACTGGGGAGGTCCCAGGTCCTTGGTAGGGACATACTATTGATAATATTTTAATGGACATGTTAAGTATATGTTTAAACTTATAAACTACTACAGCTCTTGGCCTTGTTCAGAGAGGCCTCCTTTGGCAATGGGTGATGATCAAAGTTTGAATTCATACCTCGTCAAAATGTTGAGAATAATTAACTGTTGAGTTCACACCTGTGAATGAGGCATCTATGGCACCCTCTCTGAGACCCAGGCTCATGTGCTGAATGCTTGGTTCTCACCTGGTAATGATATTGTGAAGACGTTAGAAACTTCAGGTGGATGTGTCTCTCTGGTATGCTTTAGAACGTTTACCTGGTTCTTGGTCTCTCTGTTTCCATGATTCTTTTAGCTTAAAAGCTTCAGTCTGCAACATTGTCTTGTCCACATTGAACCAAAAACTTTGAAATCAGGAGCTAAATTATTCCTGTCTTGTAAAGTGGTGCATTTTGTCACTGTTTAAGAGAAGTAATTCAGAAAACTTGTGCAAAGATATCCTGAGTACTGTGACTATTCTTGGTATAATTCTGAAGCCTCTCAAATTGTTTGTGGAGGGTTATTTGAAAAAGTTTAGAAATAAATGCTAATGACATCATTTTAAAATATTTCATTTATTATTATTATATGTATATTAGTGTA